GAACAACTGAGTAATCCAGAGATTCTCCCCAGTGAATGCTCAAAGGACTACTGATTCTTATCAATAGCACAAGGGATATTTTGCAGATCGCTTTCTTTGAATGTCAAGGATATTTTACTAAGCTCAAGGTATTTTCAGGGAAAGCTGGTTTACGAAAAGTTTCGCTCTGCTAAGTCTAGTTCCTAGGTCCTCCTTCAGCATACACCCCAGAAAAAATGCAGGGCATGGCCCATTAGCTCAAACCTATAGAGAAGCTGGCTGACACTTCCATCTCAGGGACAAGATTCAAACCTCCAACCAGTAAAAATGAATACTATCTAATATTCACACAGGTTATTAACTGTATAGTGCCTTGTGCTAGGTAGGCTCCCAATGTGATGAACTTAATTGCACCAACTGTTTCACAATGGTTTGCAAGAGCAAAGTAAGTAATCACTAAGCAAAGTTTAAGCATTTTAGTTTTTAATCCTACCAGGGAACTGAAACACCATTTAATTTCCCAATACCAACCTATCCTTTACTGTTTAGATCTCAATGAGTATTTCGTAACTTTTCGGAGGTCATATAAACACCCCCTTAAGAATCTGATAAAAGCTACAGACCCTGTAGAAAATTGTGCACTTGAACCCCACACCATTCTTCATACAATTTCGTGGCGTTATGAGACCCCTAAAACTTACCCATGAATGCCTGGTGTAAAAATAACTAAATGTGTAAAATTAGGAAAGGTGGGAGAATGGAAGACCAGACCAAAAGAAAAGTAAAAATGGCTGGACGAGGGGTGGAGGAGAGGACAGGTGAAGAGGAGGCAGTAACTCCAGAACCGAGTATAGGACTGTGTGGCTCTATACCCAACAGCACTCTCACCTCTTAGATTTTCTTCTTTACAGTAACTCGTTCAATAAATTAGATCAGTTGCTATACACCCCACCCCCACTGTCGAGACAAGAAAACTGAGATCTGAATTGGCTGAATGAGTTGCCCAATATCAAATATCAGCACATGGCAAAACCAAGACCCTGACTGAAATCCTCAGATTATTTTGTGACACACCATTGGTTCCTCAGCAGAGACAGAATTCGGAGAAAACAGATGGAAAGAAGGAAGTGCGGGAAAGAAGCCTAGGGGAGAGAAAGAAACTGGGTAGGGGAGATAATGGGCATAGACGGCACGAAGAGGGAGGCAAGAGGACGGAGAGGGGGATGAGGATGTAAGTAGAGAAACTGAGGGAGAAATAAGGACTCTGTCATCTCAGGTGTTATAACTATTACAGAAACTGCAGTTTAAATACTCAGACCTATGCGTCCTGATATGGAACGAGTAGGTTCTGGCAAAATTTAAAAGGCTAATAATGGGATTGCGGGGTTGGCAGTAGCATAGCATAGTGGGCGAGCAGTGCCCGGAGGCAGCGCAATGCTTTTGCACCATCTTTCTCTGCATACTGTCACCTGCTGCACCAGAATTTGCAGAAGTGGGGACCAGAACCCAAATACATATTTCTCCCTCTGTCTACTTTTTGCTATGCTCTTGAGAGCTAGACTCTAGACCTCATCTTCTAAAGACGCAGGCAACTTATGTAACCCTATGGCAGTATTTATCCAGGTAAAATAAACGGCTGTGAAACCCTGTTGGATCCTTCTCATGAAATGTGTCAGAGTGTGTTTTGAAAGCTATTTCTCATTACTAGCCTTACAAAGTGTATTAGCATTTAAATAGTCAGAACCATTGTCATTCTAAAACGCACTTCCAACACAGTATGAAGAAAGCCAATCTAAAAATCTGCCCATGGAGGAGGAGGAGGAAGAAACTCTTAAGGGAGAAAACACCTACAAGGAACACTAAAGCCAGCACAAGCAGATCAGTAATGAGCAATTTAAAGATCTGATGGCAACTTTCACCAGCGTTTCATTTTCAACAGCAAATGTCGCTCTGAGTACTTCTGGCCCCAAAAGATGCTGTTTTTAAATGAGCCACCTTCTGAATAATTGAAAATAGTGCATCGATGAGCATAATTTAGAATACATCAAGTAAAAACAGAAATAGATGTGTTAAGATGCTGGTTTGATCAAGAAGTTTTAAATAGAAAAAAAGATTTTCTTGCTTTGTGTTGTTTGTGTAGAAATATTAAATTTTAGAGCAGGAAGACGGTACCTAAGGGAGAGCTTGTACACTTGGGTTTTTACTGATGAAGAAACTGAAATCATTTCCTTGAGAAAGGTGTCATAACACATTGAGATCCCACATCTATCTAGTGTAATTCTACCCCGTAAGAAAGCTCCACAGAGAGAGCTTTGCTAAGAAAATGGTCCACTCTCACAATGCTGTCTGCACTATTATTACACAGTCTTTAGAGTAGGGGAGGGTGGCCGATTCAATCTGTGCCTAGCACAAGGGCTCCAAGCACTAAAGGACTTTGGAGATTATCTAATCCAACTTCCTCATTTTACAGAAGAGACAAAGATGACCCAAAATAGTAAAGCAACCAGGCCAGGGTTCCACGTTAGGTGAAAAGAGGTTTCTCAACAACGGCACCACTGACACGTTTTTGTACTTGATACTTCTTTGTTGTCAGGAGCTGTCCCATGGGTTGTAGGATATTTGACAGTATCCCTGGCTTATTGTAATCCCGCAACCCACCCAATCACAACAATAAAAGAATGTCCCCGGACGTTGCCAAACGTTTCAGGGAGGGGATGGGGATGACAAAATTTCCCCAGTTGAGAACCACTGAATTAGAAACTGGCAACCAAATCTAACTCCCTACCTGGTACTCTTTTCATTAATCACATGTATTTGTTCTTTTCAGATAAATATTCTGGAACTAGGGAGAACTGATTAATACATTAAGCCCCCAATAATACTGATTACATGTTATTAACAAAGTTTTTAATAAGCTCTTAAAAATGTGCCTTACAGATATTAACTGACTGCATTTACTCACCTGTGGGTGCCTGGCATGAATGTAAACACAAATTAGCATGTATACATACATGAGCCTGAAACTGTGCAATCTATGGAACGAGTCTCTCATTTTGGGTTGCATAAAATAACAGTAATACTACGTTAAAAGTTCAGGGCAGACATCTCTCTACAAATGGTAAACTTTCTTACCAGCCTTAGAAAAATTCACTACAGATTGTAGCTAAATATGGAATTATCTTTTTTTTTAAACACGAAGAAACCTCACTGTCAAACTGTTTAATCATCTTATTGTAAAGATAAGAAACTGAACTAAGTGCTTCAAAATAGCATCAGATTCCTTCTTCAACACAGATGAGAAAACCAGGCTTACCAATATACAGGATACACAGCTTCTACCGCCAATGACAGCCTCTGATTTCAGAATGCCAGTTAATTATGATATTCAGATATTACCTGTTCCTCTTTTTCCGGTGTTCTCTGTTAGAATTTTCTGATTCGCTACCACTGCTTGTGTTACAGCGCGAACGCGACCTGAAGACAAAATGATAAGACAAAAGAGAAAAAAAAAATGTTTATGACAAAAAATTTCAGAAAGGTTCAAATTGGTTCTTTGGAATTAATTTTGCAATAAAATTACTTATCTAAACATAAAGAGCTGTACTATACCTCGCCCATTCAGTGTTTCTGAACAAAGACATCTGAATGAGTCTACAGCTCAGGAAAATAGTAACACAGGGGAAATATGAAAGCAGATGAAGGCAAACGTCACCATGTTCCCAAAAAGGACCACAAAATCAATTACTTTCAACAGAACTCTGACGTGGCAAAGCTATAAGCACCCATGGTGGACTAAATATGGATGCAGAGTCTTGTCACACACCCTACCCCATTGAGAGTTTATTTCCCTAGCCCTTGAATTTACACTGGTCCTGTGACTTATTTTACCAAACGAATGAGGTGGAAGTGATACTCTGCCAGTTCCAACACTACCCCTTATTGGACTGCTAGCTTCTGCTTCCTCCCAACCAACATCTAAAGAAGCCTAGTCTAGCCACGTGGAGAGACCATGTAGCGAGGTCCCAGGCCTCCAGCCATTCTGCCAAATGCCAACATGAGAAAGGCCCCTGGATAACACAGCCTGAGCTGCCAACTAACCACAGCCTCATGAGACCCTGAGCAAGACTAGCTAAAAACCTTCCTGCTCAATTGACAGTTATACAAGATAAACGTGGCTGCTGTTGCTTCAAGCCATCAAGTTTGGGAGTGGGTTATAATATGGCAATAGGTAACTGAGACGGCTCCTCTGAGACACGAAGGAGCAGAAAAAAGAGAAATGTCTAAGGATGCAACAGAATGGAAGACTGAGAATCAGCTGAAGCCAAAATTGATTTCTGAAAGAAAAAAAAAATCCGCCCACTCTTGTCTCAACTCTGAGCACTCTGAGTATTGCTAATCTGCTAAACCTTCCTCCTCCTCTCTGACTCTCTTTCCAATTTTGTTGTTTTTTACCTCCTCCTTTGCTTTAGATCTGAGTCTTCACCACTGTTATGGGCTTTCCTATGAAAAACAAATAAATGAAGACATTAAAGAAAACAGAAAATTATCAACAGGCCAAGGAAAGCACACCAAAATGAGTGTCACTTCAGTTAATGCGTATCTGTTTTATATTTGTCCATTCATCGCACATTTAAGTCACACATATATGCCCAACCCTACGACAGGTCCCAGAAATATAACGTACCACCACCAGCCTCAGTCTAGTGGGGGCTGCAGTCTGAATTCCATTCACCCGGTGATGGGGTTAGTCTGTAGCTGCAGGTCTGCGATCCGCCAAGCCAATCTCTGCCATAATCTGACATCAGCTCTCACTCGGATACCCTTTCCAATACCCTGGCCCCGAAGTTCCTTTCTCTCTTTTCCAATAACCTCTTCCACTGCAGCTCAGCAGTCTACATCATGGTCACACTTTGGACTTTATCATCTGTAACCACCTCCAAACACTTCCTGTTTACCTGTTTACCACTTCCTGTTTACCTCCAAACAGCTTCAAAGGGGCATCCTGGTTAAAAGTGTAGGCTCTGGAGCCAGAAAACCTGAATGTGAATCTAATCTCCTCTCCTTCACTGATGATGTGTGTGATTTAAACAATTTACTTCTCCATTCAATGCTTCAGTTTTAACAGAACCTCCTTTAAAGGATAAAATAAATATACTTAAAACACATAGAGTAGGACCTGAGCCACTGTTAGCACTCAATAAAGTAAGCTGCTATTGTTATTGCTTATTCAACTATTTCCATTCTTCCCTTCCTTTGACCCCAGTAGGACTGTCTCCTGACCTTGCTACTTTCCACCAGCTCCTCACCTCTCTTCGCTGTCCCCTTTACTCAGCTTAGATTTTCTAGCCCATCATTTCAATAACACACATACCAGTACACAATGCCTCCCCCAACTCCGTTTTCCATTCCATCTTTTTAGCAAAACCGCATGCATGGGTGAACCCAACCAGGCAGGTTCTCCGGACCAGCCCTCAACAGCTGGCTGAGCAGTGTTGGGAGGAGTCACATAAAAGAGGCATATTAATTACACTACAAATCCACATTCGCGAACCTCAAGTGAGGCCACAACACGGTCAGCAATCCTACCACCTTTCTCTGACCTAAGCACAAAGTGGTTTCAAACTCTTCACCCTGCACCTCTCTGACCCATGGCACCTCTGTTTCAGCATGACTTTGTTTTCTCCTTCCAAAGGAAAAAGTAGCCATCAGATGGAACTCTTTCATCTTCCTGCTACCAAAAATAAAAACTTACCAGCATCTCCCTCTCTGTTATCTATGGATCTATCCTTACGACTAAGGTCAGTCCCTCCACCTGTGCTATATGGGGTCCCATCACTTCAAATCTTCTCAATGACTTTCACTAACTACCCTTCCACCCCTCACATATATTCAACTTGCCCTTCCGGAAAATGGTTTTTACAAGCTATTAACGTTTTCAAGCCTCTCCCACTTAGACAAAAACAGACCTACTCTGACTCCACCTCCCTACTCAACTTCTGCCCAGCCGTCCCTCTTCTCCTTCAAAGCCAAACTTCTTGAGAGAGGCGTCTGCGCCCATGCTCCACTCCCTAAGCATCTATCACCTAGTGCCTTCCCACTCTGATGGGGCTGGGTGTGGCTCTTTAACGCCACCGCTAGGCCTCACGTTCTCCCACTTCCCACAACATACACACATCAAGGAATGTGGTCCCTATCCCTCTATCAAATTGTTAAGGAATTATTTAGCATAAACACAATTATGTAAATATTGTTCACAGATGATCTAAATAGTGATCTAGGAATACAATTCCATTCTTTTATAGGTTTTAAATTTTCTGAGAGAGGATGATTGCTTAGTTTTCTACATACATATGTCGCTTGCTTAGTATTCTTTTCCTTATCACAAATTCTTCATGTAAACTCTGAGAGAACTGCAAAACCCCTCCTGCTATGGATGGATACTCAGGTAACCTGCAAGTTCCACTTACATCCCTCCTGCGCCCTCTGCCCTCCTGCTCATGTCCAGACCTCCCGCTCTCCAGCGCTTCTGCACAGATGTCCTTTTGATTAACTCTCTTCACCATGACCCGGGGAATTCCTCTTGCTTCTTTGTATGATGAATTCCGTATTTCCAGGTCTGATGGCTACTTGTCTTGGTAGAATGTGTTTTTCAGTTGCTAACAGAGAAAATGCACATGGCAGGCACACTTCTTTGAGGCCTAAAATGTTTCTATTCTACATATACAAGTATAGTTTATCTGGGCATAGAATTTTAAATTGAAAATAACCTTCCAGAATTTTGAAGGCAATGCTTCCTTGCCTTCTGATATTGCTGTTAAACAGCTCAATGTCATTCTGGTTAGTCAGCATTTGTAACGGATACTGTCTCATATGCCCTCCCCACTCCAAGTCTTTAGAATTCTCTCTTAATCTATAATGTTTTGAAATTTAATAATAATGAATTTTGGTATGGATTTAATTTTAGTTTTTTAATCTATTATGTCAAATGCTTAGTGGATTCTTCTCTATCTTGTATTTTTTTTTTTTAAGAGATGGAGTCTTGCTCTGTCACCCAGGCTACAGTGTGGGGTGCAGTGGTGTGATCATAGCTCACTGTACCCTCAAACTCCTGGGCTCAAGGGATCTTCTTGCCTCAGTTTCCCGAGTGGCTGGGATTACAGGCACCTACCACCACACCTGGCTGATTTTAATTTCTTTTATAGAGATGAGGTCTCACTATGTTGTCCAGGCTTATCTCAAATTCCTAGCCTCAAACAATCCTCCCACCTCAGCCTCCCAAAGTGTTAGGATTACAGGCATGAGCCATTGTTCCTGGTGTGTACTATTTCTTTAATAGTTCCATCTCCTACATTTTCTCTGTTCCTTTTTCTTAGAAATATCATTAGTTGAACATTTGATATCTAGGTTTGATAATTTTATTATTCTTATTTCCATATATTTGTTTTATTTTGGATTTTTTGGTTCTATTTTGGAGATTTCCTTAACTTTACCTTTTAAACCTTCTATTGATTATTTTAAATTCTGCCACACTAATTTAAAGTCTAAGAACTCATATTCATTGGTTCTTAACCTTTTATGGCAATTCATTGATATGTTTTTCATTTTATAAAGATAATAATTACAGTTGTAGAAATTTTTCTTTCTTATATTGTCTGTTTCCTGTCAGTTCCCCTAACTCAACTCATAACCATCTGTTTCAGTTTCTGTCTTTTCAGATAGAAGCTATCCTCAAATGCAGGTGATCATGGCTCTCTCTTCCTATTCAAGCATTAGATGCTGAAAAGACTGGAGCCCTCTGGATGGTGAAGAGCAAGGTAAGTGACAGCTCTATTGTAATATGGGGCAGTTTCAACCATTTCATTGGAGGATCCTTTGAAAGTGAGTATCATAGGTCTTTTCTCTTGTACCTGTCCATTTCTTAGAATGAGATCCTCTAATCTCATGCCTGGGAGATATAAACCTGGCCTCTAGTATTCTGGGAATGAAGAAAGAAGGGAGAAATTTGGTAAGCAGATTTTTGCTCTTCTGATTTTTCCTATGGCCACAATTCTCTGTCTCCTTTCCCGGCTAATCCTCTTCAATAAAGCCATCGAATGCTGGAGTTTCTCATAGCTCTATCACTGACTTTGTCTTTGCATTCTATCTATACCTGCAGTCCCCAGCCCCCGGGCTGCAGACCGGTACTGGTCTGGGGCCTGTTAGGAACCAGGCCACGCAGCACGAGATGAGCTGCGGGAGAGCGAGCGAAGCGTCATCTGTATTTACAGCTGCTCCCCATCACTTGCTATTCCCCGCTCCCCACCCTGTGGAAACACCATCTTCCATGAAACCGGTCCCTGGTGCCAAAAAGGTTGGGAACCGCTGACTACCTAGACAGCTTCATCATTATTACATATTTCAGTTAATATATTTAAGAAATTTATAATTCAGTCCAGACAGCTAATCTAGATGCTGACTTATATCCAACAACCCACGCGAATCCTGCACTTGGACATCTCAGAAGTACCATAAATTTGACATATCAGAAACGAAACTCACACAGTTGTCCCTGTCAAGCCTGTAATGTCCTGGTGATTCTGTTCCTGTGCATGGCACCTGAACTCATAAAATCGCACAAGCCTGGCTTTCATTCCTGACACCTGTCTCTCCTCCGCCCATCACACTGATCCTGCCAGTCGTACTGAGCTTACCTCCTACTGGCTCTGGAAACCGGCCACCACCTTACATCACTGCCTTGGTCCAAGCTCCCATTCTCTACCACTAGGACTCATGCAGTAGCCTGAGGCCTCGTGTCTCCATTTCCACTACTACCCTCTTCCACCATTTCTCCAAGGACAGTAAAAGTCAGCCTCATAGACACAAATGCGGTCATGTTGTTACACTCCCTTGTATTGATAAAAGCTACTGGTCTAAGGACCAAAATCCTCAACAAAGCCAAGGTCTGGTCCTGTCTTTCTCTCCAGGCTTATTTCTAACACATTTATGTTCATTCTCAGAGCCTGAATAGCATTGGCCTTTTTTCCTTTTCATGAATGTTCCCTGCACCCTTCTATCCCAAGGCTTTTGTACTCTACCTGGAATGATTTTTCCTTTCTTTTTGCTCACTTTTAGCTCAGATCCCAGGTCAAATGTCCAACCCTCAGGGAACCCTTCCCTGTTCTCCTTGACTCAGCACTTAGCAAACCTCCCCTGATAGTGCTAGTTACACAGTCGTTTAGTTCGTAAAACTTTATCAAGCAGTTACACTTATGACATGTGTTCTCTCCTGTACACAAGCTGGATTTCAATAAAAAGTTTTTTTTAATTCCCCTAAGTACCACATAACTCACCTTCATATAACATATCCGAGTCATAATTGTATTTATGTCATTCATATATTTCTCTCCTAATGGTCTGTAAGCACCTAAAGGACAGGGACTTTGTCTAGTGTTCTTTAGCATATTGCCTCGTATACAACAGGCACTCAAATAAACATTTTTGAGTATAAAGATGGAAGCTGAGAAATGAAAATGTATTGAACCACCGGAAAATATGCTGGCTTTCTTCTTCTAGAATAGGAATGTTTAAATGAGCAGGCTTCAGAGTCTCCATAAACCTTGAAAATTATATGAAAATGTTTATGTGTATTTAAATATGTACTTTTTCTCCCTAGGGAATGAATCCAACATTTTGTCAGATTCTCGGAGTGTACTGTCACCCCAAAAAGTTAAGGACCACGGTTCTAGACTCAGTCAGAATTTGACAGCTGTATCCATCTCATGACAAACAACTGACAAAATAGGAAATTTTGGTATCTATTGCAAAACATATTATGCTGGCATCCAAAGCAAAATAGAATTTCCTATTATTAAATTTAAGTCCTTGAGATGTTTCCATGCCGAAGACAAAGCTCAGTTTTAAATGTCAGAGTGAATCCAGCAATGCAGGGATCTGTGCCTAGGGGCAAGGTAAATGTGTGTGAAGACAAAATAAGAATGACAAGGACAGGGACATTTATAGGGCATTTATAGTGGAAAGCAACAGAGAAGAATGTGCTTTTAGCTCTTCTACGCCAACATGCAATAATGGCTGGTCACCTCAAAACACAAATGCCCAGCAAGAGACCTTTAAGTGACACACAGCAGCAGACAGAAGGCTCTATGGCTGCTCAGGCGAAAAGATCCTCTTCCTGTAAGTTAAAATCGTCTTTCCTCTGGACTATGCCAATAAAAGGATCCTGTATCCACTCTTCACAATTACTTCTGTGTTTCCCGGAAGCCAGCAGAAAATGTACCTTGGCATAGAAGTCTGAATTTGTAAATGTATATGCTCCAAACCATTTTAAGCAATTAGTTTGGATAAAAACAATGTTAATTTTGGCATATTTTAGCAAAACTTGGTAAGTTCATTTTCAAATGTATTAAAATAAAAATGACAATCTGCTCAACACATGCAATTATCTTATTAATATTTAGGGAGTGCTGACAAACTACACTAATTAAGGATGAAAAACTATAAAAATCTAACAATAGTAATACATGCCAGGTTCTTATTATATCTAGACATTCCCACCACCCACATCCCCTCAATACACATACATACACAAATGCACTAAAACCAAAGCAATACCACTAAAAAAATACTTTTAAGTACTCTCCAAGTTGAACCAACCCTGGGTGGTCCTAAGGAGAAAGTTCAGTAAAGGCTGAGGTAGACCCTTGATTAAAGAAGGGTTCACTATCTCCACTTTTTTCTGAGGCATAGACCTGGATTCAAATCCTAGATGTGCCACAGAGGACAAGATGTGATCGCCCCGAGCCTCAGTTTCTCCTCTGTAGAAGAGTGATGATGATGTTGGGCCAGGTATTTTTCACTGGTACTCAGCCCCTAGCAACTCATCTACAATCTCTCCTCTACCATTAAGAATGGAAGACTAAAAATTGTATTTTCCTGGACTCCCTTGCCAGCTGGGTTCCAGTTAGAGAGCACTCCAGTAAGATTTCAAGGCAGGAAAAAAGGGCAAGTGATTTTGTTTCTGTTAGCACCTGTGGCATCAATGTCAATACTCATGAGAAGTGGGTGTTCCATGGCTTTAGCCATAGTGTTGGTACCTCCAGTGGTGGCAGCAAGAGTGATCCCTGATTAGCATGTGCAATGGTGCCAACAGCAACATCAGCAGCAAACAAGGCTCAGGAGTGCCATCTCAAAGGTAGAAGCAGCTTCTGGTCTCTGGGTAATACCCCCTTCTCTCCTTGTGTTCCTCCAGGAGCAGTAACAGAGGCCAGATCTCTGGGTTATACCACTCTCTGCCTTTTGTGCCTTCCATCCCACTCATACTTTGCACCAATTCCCTGCTTAATGCCTCTCTGCTAAAAATGCCTCATGACCGAACAGTGCAAATGCCAATTCCCATGTGGTTATTATCAGGATCAAATGAGATATTATATAGCAAGCATTTTGCTTAGTACTTGGAACATGGTCAAGACCAAACGCCAACCATTACTCCATTATTCTATCTAATCCCTCTTGGTCCTGATCTAGCCTCCTTTCTCAATCCTATCAGGTGAAGGTGATGTAGACCTCTCTCTCCTTAGCCATCAAAGGATTTCAGTGAAACTGGACGTGGTTTGAGAAAGCTGGGGGACAAGACTCTGGGAAACTGGCAGAAGCAGAAGGGATCAAACGAGGAAGGACCAGCAAGTGAGTATGAACAACCATATAGGAGAGAGAAAGGCTCTGCTTCCAAATCCACAGTGTGTATAAAAAGAGTATCAATGGTTATGTGACATCATGACCTGAACTTCTTCAAATTATAAAAGTCATTTATATGGTACCAATTATGTGGATGCCCACAGTAAAACACAGTCCCTATCATATAGGAGTGAAACGAATTTCACTGCTAAGTCATTTCTAGGTCTTCCTCTCTGTACCTGTCTCATTGCCCAGACTGTTCTGTAGAGTCCAAAACTTCTGGATAAGGTCTTATTTTAACAAAATTTAGCCACACATACACAAATATAATCCCCACAAACATTCTCACCTGTTAGTTGAAATGCAACAGGATTGATTTTCTCCATGCTTTGAAAGGGGTATTACTTGGACTTATGAACAGTACTAGTCTGGAGGACACAGCACTCAGATTCAACTGAGAAGGCTTATCTTTAAACGTGCTTTTGTCTTCCCAGGAAGAAACATCTCATACCTTTTATATATTAATATATGTTAATTATACTGTGTATTATATATACTATATAATATACATGTTTATATATACATCATGTACACATTTTTTAACTTAGTCTTAATTAAAATACAGAAAGCAAGTTCCCATCAATACTTCATGAAATTGTTCTCCAAAATGCTGGCTATTTAAGATAAATGCTTATTTTATTCCAAAAAGAATAAGCTTCCAGTTATCTTGGGAAGAAAAATAATAATGACATTATGAGAATTATCTGTTATATAAAACATGCCTAGGACCCAAACTTTCCATTGAAAGCTAAAAAAAAAAAAAGGGGGGGGGAGGGCAGGTTCTGTTCAGCTCACCTTCTCCTCATTGGCTGTACAGAGTCATTGTCACTTCCACAGGAGGGGTTTCGGCGACGCGTATAGGGGAACTTTGGTGACTTGGTGCGGTCATTGGGAGAGTTGTAGAGTCCGCTGCAGTGAAAGAGGAACAGTCAACCAGAGCCCACAGAGGGCTGGAGGAGCAGACACCCCAACCCAGATCTAGGGGCACATGCAGCACAGGCACCTGGTTCTCTTCACTGACAACATTTATTGAAAGAAAAGAGAGGTAAGATCTGATAAAATCAAACAATAAAAGTCATTATGTTGCAGGAATGGATTTGTCTCACTGGCCTTCAATAGTAAGAAATGAATACACACGATGATAATAACCACAATTCACAATTATAATGAACCTACCACTTGCTAAGCACTGACTGAGCTAAAGGCTTTATATTCACCATCTCAGTTAATTCTCATATCAACCTTCAGCATTAAGGTACAATTATGACAGTCATTTAACAGAAAAAATGGAAATACAGAATACTTAATAAAGTGGCCCAAGTAAAGGGTCTAGAAAGTGGCAGAGCTAGAATTTGAACCCCTAGGTAGTGATATTTGGAACCACAACAATACTAGTAAGTTGTAATGCAGGTCTGTCACTGGTTTAGTAGTTGTAAACAGAAAGAAGCTAAAGATAGCCATAGTTTTAGGAATAAAGGTCTTCTACCATCACTATTCATCAGCTGTCATTTTCACCTAAAGTTTTTACGAGAACTGTGAAACGGGGGAATTATCATTAATAAGTCATTTAGAGTTTTCAGTTATATTATCTCACTCTAACCTATTATAATGACCTTTCAGGTAATTTCTTAACATTCATTAGATTTCCCTTTTGTTTTTCCAGGAAAAAGTTTCACATTAAGGAACAGAGACTGCTGATTTCCATTCATGAAATTTCCCACCCCGCCCAGTCACGCTGATTTAGAACCCTGACTGCCACGTCCACTGCTAGCTGTGACCAGCCACACGGCAGCAGGATTCCTTTATTCAGTGAGCTGCAACTGCCAACCCCTCTCCTCCTGTTCTCCTTTATACAAACAATGATCCCCTTTACCTCCGGGGGCCATTTTCTTCCCACGGTACATGAGACTTGCTTCTTTGGGTATCAGGGCTGTTTTCATTCTTTGCTTTCTTAAAGCTTTAATTAAAAAAAAAAAAGTATGGAAAATAAATCAACTAGAAAATGAAAGTAAACTCACATACTTATTTCTCAAAGAAAACTACTTAACAAATCTTAAAATGTGTTTATTTGCTTATTTACACCTGTGACTCCAAAAAGAACATGAGGTGGCCGCCTAGAAAATATGTCTCCAACAAGCACCTTTGGGTCCTTCCCCCTTCTTTCTTTCTAGTTTTATTGCTTTAAGGCAACAGAAGCCAGTTTCATCAACTGTTAAGAAACGTCAAAGAGGGTCCACCTGTAGGATACGAAGCAAGGGCAGCCATTGAGCCAAGAAAAGCAGCGAGCTGAGAAGGAAGCCCGGCTCACGAGGCTGGCTCCCTCTCTGGCCCGGCTCTGAATCCGTGCAGGTCAGTCAGCTCTTCCCAAACTGACCTTCCCCCGGCTTCCGCCACATCTCGGCTTCAGCCTTCCAAATCGGAAAGACTTTCAAATGCTATTTCCTGACCTAGTATCATCTTTCTGCCCTAAGAAGGTAAATACAACTGAGTTGTTATTCAATCCCAACAAATTGTTTTAGAAACACATGGGGAGACACAGAGGAAGGGACTCATCAGAAGCCTTCAGTCCACAGTGGGGGAGGGATGTGTCACCTCTCACTTCCTGGGGAGTCTTAGCCTCAGATAAAGATAGAACAGTTAGTGCCCAATCCACTTTAAACCCTGGCTTTCTAAGGAATCCTCTATATAATTGTTTTAGAATACGATCATAGCAGAATTCTGTTATAAACAGCCAACAAAGAGGAGAGAGGAAAAATGACAAGGTCAAAAAAAGAAAATAAATTTGCACCCCAGCATACTATATCCATGTAGGAATTAATATAAACCTATAAAATTATATATCTGACAAAGGCATGTCACTTATAGTACTAGTATAGTAAGCAGGTTTTATATATGAAAAATGTATTATTTTTATAAAGGTTAAAAATTTCTGAAGATCCAACTCCCAAGGAAAAAGCTTACCTTTTGAAATTAGGAAAAATAATAAATATGGCAGATATCTAATACGACAGTAGAAAGTATATGTGTTTAATAAATCAGAAAGCAGCAGCAAGAAGAGAAAGGGAAGACTGAGAAAAGAAATAGGGAGATGAAAGAGGAACTGAGAGAGAAGACAAAAGTTAAAAAATAATGAAACCCTGGGTGGCGGGTTAACTGCATTAGCTCCCTAAGCTGTCTCTCTTCTGAAGCTTGAGTAGGAAAATTTGGCAGCCTGCAGGTAACAGTATCATCGGCAGGAATGTGGCTGCAAAAGCAGTGAAACTCTTCATGAACATTCTAGTAATAAAAAGGGCTTGGGATCTGAATTTCATGTAAGATTACTGCTCTTACGTTGGATATACCTCAAGCATACCCTGTACATAGAGATGCAGCTGACTTTATTTATTCACAGCTATGAGGCCAACTAGGAGAAAACACAGTAAACTAAAGTGTATGCAAAGGTAAAGAACTTCTCATTCCAAAAGGATAATCTGTAAATGTTTCTGAACTAAACAAATACAGGCAAAACCCTGGGTAAAATATTGCAACTCTAAGAATCTTCAGATCTTAAAATTATCTTGCTGAGAAACTATCAACGACATTCCTCAAAGTATCCACAGTCCAGCTGAATGAAGACACCATTATTTACTACTAGAAGATTGAGTTGATGATCTAAGAAGTCTTTGCAGGTCACGTATCTGACTGCTTGGACATCGTAATGTATGGGGGCCACCTCTACGGAGAAAGCGAGCTTATGAAAGCTGCTCATTGTACGCCTGTGCCATTCCATGGACATAATTGGAGATAGGAAAAAATGACTCTGCAACAGTGTCTTAACAGAGAACAAGGCCGAGCTTTCAGGGAAACAATCCATGTAACATATTAAAAGAAGGTTTATCCACTGGGGAATGCCACTGGGGATACTGACGCAGAGGACCATGACAAGTCTTCATACATATGCAATCCTGGCTTCTGAGGCTCCAACGCCTCTCAATGCTATAAACCCTCTTTCCAGGGCCACGGTTCAGTGCACCACTGTAATGAACACAGTACATTAAACGTGAATGTCATCTACTTTAGTTCACAAGTCCCTCTGAGTTAGTCCATTATATCATGCCCTTTTAAGAATCACATGGAATTTTCACTTTGCTGCTGAGAATGCAGACCACAGACGACCTCTGGGAGTTCACCTTGCTGTAACAAAAAGGGCGTTTTCTTCAAAGGACAGAGGCAGGTCCTGATGTTTTATATTTCACTGCCATTTTAAAGTATTAATATTCTTTTGGCCCAGAGATTATTTACTGGAACCCATGGATCAAAAACATCATCAAAGTGAAAAGATTTTTAACCTTGTCAACAGGAAAAATCATTCTTATGACAGCATCTAGTCATATATTTCTTCAGGTAACTGCACTGACCTTTTTACTGGTGAAGGTGCAATAATTTTGGTTGTTCCTTCATTTTCTCCATTTTCCATGTTTGCAGTTATCCTGTTTATGCTGTTTGATCCTAGTAGCAAAGAGCGGGGAAGGAAAGACAGAAAGGAGAAAGGAGACAGCATAAGGAAAACACAAAGCAGAAGACTTATTTTAAAATGCAATTTTAGGGATATCATGGCATATTTTAACGATAAACTGTAACCCCAAATAATGAATCATCCAATATATCCCAGGTACTATTTTCTGACATGTACTAAACCCTCAACATAACAATGTCCCAGTGGTCTAGGCTATGACCTTTTCAGACTCTGCGAGTTAATTAAGTCCCACATCACAGACATTTTTTAGACTCTTAAAATAGGATTCTAAGATATTTAGTATCATACCTTGGAATACAAAACATAATAATCAGTTCTCAATAACTGTGTTGTGAAGAAGTTTCTCAGCATGTCATGACAGCCCCTTTTTAAAATCAAACCAAAAAATATATATTCCAAACCTAACTCATAATGCAAATGTCAAAAAAGAATAATACTGATGTGATCTGTATCACTCCTATACAAAAAGTTTTCAAACACGTTTCTTATGCAAACATTTCCATAAAATCTGAAACTGAATTTTTAAAAGCTGTTATTCCACAGATTTGCATACATGCTAGATGGACCAGCAGAGGGAGCCCACGGCAGACACAATGCTGGAAGTCATGATCAAGATAAGTGAAGCGCCCAGGCCCCTCCAGGAGGTCTGGATTCCATTCTCAGGCCAGGGGCTGCTGATAAGCCTGCAAGAGTGAGATGCCTGGGCTCAGGTAACAGGGTCCACTCTTCTCTCCTCCAGCAGCACACACCTCACTCTGGGAGGCAGTTTTGATGAGCAGGAGAAATCAGTCAGCCCAGATGCCCACAGCCTGGTTGAATTAAGTCTACATGCTATGCAGGAGTGTCTTCCTCAGAGCTGCTCTTGCAGGGGTATGTCCTTAGTTAGAGTCATTGACTCCAAAGCATAATCACCACTAACTGCTGAGAGTTTGAGTCAAGTAGATGAGTGTATAATACTAATAAGTGCTAATATTTATTGAGTACTTACTATGTGTCAGGTGCTGTTCCAAGCACTTCACATCTATTTATTTAGGTAATCTTCAAAATAATCCCATAATAGATAATAATATTACCCCATTTTTAAAGATTTAAAAAAATGGGCTTTCCCAAGGTCCCACAGCTGAGTGGAGGGGCAAGCTTTGAAACCATCAGCCTGGCTCCAAAGATGTAGCTCTAAATCACACAATACTTCCATCTGTGGCCTACTACAAACAGTTCAAAAGTCAGTCTAAATTAAAGATCAATGGGGAGAGACAGATTCTTTAGAAGAGCGGACCCCAAACTTTTTGGTACCAGGGACTGGTTTCATGGAAGACAATTTTTCCACAAATTGGGGGTGGGTGTATGGTTTCCAGATGATTCAAGCACATTACATTTATTGTGCAGTCAAACCTCTCTGCCAGTGATAATCTGCATTTGCAGCTGCTCCCCAGGGCTAGTATCACTGCCTCAGCTCCACCTCAGATTTCAGGCATTAGATTCTCATAAGGAGCTGCAACCTAGATCCCTGTTTGGCTACCCGTCAGGACAGGCAAACATTAATAAACACACTTTGGAGAAAACAGAGTGGTTTCAAATAAGAGTTTCAAAAACCATTGCTCTAAAGAATTTGACATGGATTCAATATCTGAATTTTGTTCCTATTTTGGAATCCTGAAATGGAAAGGTAAGCCAGAAGCTGTATGTGAAACTAAAGGTAAGCTCATGTTGGAGCCACTACCAATAATTGAACAACACCCTTAATCCAAGCGTGAGAAAACAGTAACGTTGGGGTAGACTTCACCAGCTGTGATTAACAGGACACGACCAATTTCCTTGAACAACTCCATGGGCTACCAAACATCGGCAGTGGCCAGTCACCATCTAAGTCACTTTTGCCATAACCACATAACCAAAAATCACAAGGGCAAAATCTCAAAACTGTAGGCACAGATTTCGGATGAAGCTGCTTCTTGCATTATGGAACTCTAGGTGGTATGGCCCTGGGGCAGTGGCAGGAGGGACTAACTCATTTGTGCCCACAGACAGTAGGTGTGCCCTAACATTAACATTTTTAATTGTTCCTAATAAACTTTATTTAAATGTAGTATCGTTCTCAGCAGGCATTACTAATTTATAATATAAATGAAAGGGACTTTCATGTACCAGGGCTGTTCTCCCTGGCTGGGGGAAAAAGAGCTGAGTAAAGGTGATCATCATGTTAACCAAAGCCCTGGGTAATATAGGTTAAGAATAAACCTAGGTTTGCTCCAATCCTCATCTCTTTAGACTGACTAGTCTTTTCTTAGTTTTACAACCACTAATTTTGCAGAAAGCGAGGTTGCTTAATTCCTTTTGCCTAGTTTCCATCTAAATCTTCCAAAAATTAATAGGTAGACAAACTGAAGAATATTTTAAAGTAGAAAAATTATCAACTATGTTTATGTATTTTCTTAAAGAAAGCAATATTTGGTTATTCACAATATCCAAATCATAATTTTTAAGATAAAACTCTAGTTGGATGGTTTTCCAAAAGAATTTAAGGAAAAAAATCATGTGAGTGCTCTCTCTCTCAAACACTCACAACCAGTATAGCCAGATTTCTTCAAAATAAATTGTTCGACTGCCAGGATTAATTTACTAATAGTCATATAACTCTCATATATGCAAGGTAAATGAGATAAGGTATAGTCAGTAATACAATAGAAATCATGGCTATTTTATATTCAAAATGGAGAACTGCTGTTCACTGTCTATATTATAGTCTGTTGAAATGTTTTGAATCTCTCTTTATATGGACTCCTCTACTTTATAATTAATGCGAGCTTGGACGAGCCTGGGTTTTAAAAGTTTTATTAGGAAAACAAAACTACCTGGGAAAAAAACACTTAAAAGCATTAACTTTCTAGGAGCATTTCTGAAATATCCATTCATGTAATATTCATATGCTAACATTCATGATAGCCCCTTTTTAAAATCAAACCAAAAA